AGAAATCCACGACGTTCAAATTTCTATAACACACGCGAAACCTTGTCACCGCGCGTTAGAATACACAGTAAGAACTATATGCATTTTCAATACTCTAGAAACACCAAAATGTTAAATGTTTTATTTCAATTTAATGAAAAACTACAACCCTGAAAAATTAACCTAGAAATCAACGTAATGTGCGTTAAGAATTAATTTGTCACTTTTTTAATAGCAATGTTTGTTTGCGTAATGTAACTTTGCAACGTCACTTAACGTCATTTGACGTCACAAACGGCTCTTACTTCTATTAACCACGTTAATTTTGAAGGCGCTAATTTTACATTAAATGTTGACGAAATAATCAATTATGAAGAAGGAAAATTAGAGAATGTAAATATAAGCATTGAATTCATATTTTTGGCTGTCTTCGGTCCTATAACACACCTGGCCGTGCCGACAAATTTATCATACCGCGCTAACGCGCGGTATTCAATTTGTCTGCACGGCCACGTGTGTTATAGGACCGAAGACAGCCAAAAATATGAATTCAATGCTTAAGTAACTTCTCTGAACTACCTAGATATGACGTCATAATAGAATATCACGTCAACTCACTGCATTCTTGAGCTGACATGACGGGGAAAGTGTCATAATTATTACATTGCATGTAAATTAATTTTGGTGACTTGTTTTTTAATTCAGTTTTAAGGATTGTTTTTTAAGCTCGAATGTGCTGTTATGCTTTTGAACATTTGAAATTTAAATATCACTTTTTCCATTTACTTGTCCGATATGCACATATTCAAACAATTGCAGAAGATTATCTGTGAAACGCCATCCCCCCCCCCCCCCCCGCTTACACCTGCGTAGACGGGGTTAGAATTTATGAATCGTGTTTATATTGGACTGGCACAAGTGATAAACAAGGACAAATTGAAGATATTCTGTGTGAATCTACAAGAGAAGTTTGTCTTCTAACTGAATTTTGCTGGGAGATTGTGTGTAGTTTATCTATTTTTATATAAATCGCAAGAAAGATTGAAAAAATACCCCTTCTCATGTTGGTAAATTGATTCTATCGTAAAATATTCTCTAAACGAGTAAAAATTAAACCTGCCCCCAGCACTTTCTATGTACCAGAGATCATGATTTATTGGTCTATATAACAAACTTTGCACACTTTTTTTTGTTTTGCACTTGTGCCGAAGCGATTTTTGTGCAACAATGAGGATTATCATAAATCTCCTTCACGTGATCAAAACAGTCATGTGACATCGCAAAAATGCGTAAAATTAGAACCTGATTATACAGTTTTATCAAGTTTACTGTTATTTCAAACAAGGATAACATATTAAAATTAAAATCTAGCTCAAAATAAAATATATATTTTCAACACATTTTAAGCATTCGCACAGCCTTATCATAACTGCGAATTCGTTTTTTCGTTATTAATGTCTTCTGTTTCCAACGGAAGACCTTCTACTGATTCTGTTGGTAAAGATTATTATTCTTTTTTTTTTCTTCTACTTCATAGACGCCAACTTTGAAGCCTCATATCTCGCTTATTTCTCAATTGATTTCGCTCAAATTTTCAGAGGTACTAGAAGTTACTAAACTCTATCAGAATAATGTCAAAATTTCCGGTTTTGAGTTATTTCCCTTGAAACGAAAATTTATAGGCTTTCGTTTCCAGACAAAGGCTCAGAGACGGCTAAAATTGGAGTAGAAATTCTACTGAATTTAGATAGTAAAAGGATTGAAGTTGTGCACATCGGTTTTTGTTTTTCGATTTCTCTTTTCAAATGGCGCTATATAGGGGCAAAAATTAGAACGCTTAAAAAAAACAAAAATTACTCATATTTTGCTTTTTATCTTCTAAACTAAAAATATTTTGTTAAAACTTATAGAACAAAATTTGTGCAGAATTACAAGATCTTTTAAATGATACCTCAAAAAAAGGGCTGACCCCTAAATGAAGGGATCTAGAGGGGCCAAAAGTTTTTTCCAGATATCTCAAAAAGTATTGAGAATTTTAATACGTCAAAGAAGCAAAGTTGTTCAAAATGTCAAGCTTAATCTATTGAAGTCGTCAAAATACGTCCGGCGACGTCATTTCCGGTCAAACTGGAAGTCGTCAGAAAATGCATATTTTTGCCGTTTTTGACAAGTTTTTGGGCAACATATGTCTCTGGGAGCTTAAAAATTAATTTTTCGTGCGTCGTCGTCACTTCCGGTCAAACCGGAAGTAGCCCAAAATAGCTAATTTTTAGAGGTTTTGATGCAAAATTGAAATTTTAAAATGACTAGAGACGACTTAGCTCATTGCTTTCCTTTGTTGACGTCACTTCCGGTCAAAACAGGACGGAAGACCTACTCGTTGCTTTGCAACGAGCTTTGCTCTAGTTTTTTTTTTTTATTTTTTTTATTTTCACCATTTGGCTTCCGTAGTGTAGCTCCCAGAACTGAAGGCTAAGTTAATCATACGAAGAATTACTTTTTCTTTGTTGCAGGAGATGCTTCATTGTAAATCGTACTACTTAAATTTCTCAGGAAAACCTAAATAGCAGTTATGACAGAGAAAAAGGAAGGAAGTATCAACCAAATAAAGAGACAAATTTTTACTCTCCGTCAGTGACAGACGCGTCGTAATTTTACCGGAAGGATCTTTTTATTTGGTTTAGTATCAGTTAGAAATTTGTACGTATGATTATACCTTTCTGTCTTTTAGAGAAACTATTCATCCAATAATTGCAATGACTTTCTTGTAAGACACAAGTACATTAACATTTTTTGTGGTTTATTGAACTTTCAGGGTGAGGAAATTTTGTGTATAAACAGTATGTGTTCAAGGTCGTATTCAATTCATGGGAAGCTGGAACTAAGTGTCTGTCTGTTTGTGTATTTGGTTCCAATTCTCATGTCATCACCTGACGTCAGAAGTTTAGATATAACCAGACAAATAAATCGATCAAGACGGGTAAATAATATTCTTTGAATACATTGTGAAATATTATTTTTCATTAAAATAATAGTAACTTTATATTTCTTTAAAATTTTCATTTATTCATTACAGGTTTGTGAGTCGACTATTTGCAATTGCAAATAGGTTTTTTTCGGAAAACAATACAATATTCATGATAATGCTTAATGTTAAGTTTAGAATTGTTTTCATAAAGGATATGGAGATAACGAAGAGTATTTATTATCAAAGTCCATAAAACAATATAAAATTTGAGCAGAGCTATGTCGACTATACATGTAAATAACCCTTAAATCTCTGTATCCCTGTGAACTTGGGATATTGGAACCACACAGTCTGCAACATCTTTTTCATATTATGATGTTTTCAGACTAAATTAAAGACGATAAGGACTAACTGACAGCTAAGTTATACACCAAACAGAATGATTTGAACTTTTCCATCGTCATTTTTTCATTATTTCGAAATCATGTGTATGTGGTTTTACATCTCCCAACTGCCAATGTATTTCAAGGTTCTCCATTAGCTGTTTTACATTGTTCGTCCCGACAAGGTAAACTTTTCTCCGACACAGTAACGATTCAAATTTTATGTCTGTGACACAGTAAAAATTTTACTGACCAAGTAAGATCTGTGATAATTAGAAAATGTAAACAAACAGAAACTTTAATCAAACAATTCTACCGTCTTTCACTTCTGAAAGGTATAGGGCTTCACCTTGTATAATCAATTATCTCCTAGACTCTCGCCGGACTTTCCGCAAGATTGATTGATTGATTGTATACTGTTTAACGTCCCGCTCCAGAATATTTCACTGATATGGAAACGTCACCATTGCCGATGAAGGGCTGCAAATTTAGGCCTATGCTCGGCACTCAGGGCCTTTGAGCAGGGAGGGATCTTTATCGTGCCACACCTGCTGTGACACGGGGCCTCGGTTTATACGGTCTCATCCGAAGGACCGCCCCATTCAGTCGCCTTTTACGACAAGCAAGGGGGTACTGAGGACCTATTCTAACCCGGATCCCCACGGGGTCTTTCCGCAAGAAATAACAAAGATAAATAACTTTTTCATACTTCTAAATGGTTAATTGGCGGTTGTAAAAATTGCATTGTAATATTAAAAAAAAACAATTTTGTTTTTTCTTTGGAGCCACGACTCTAGAATTATGTTTGCACTGCAAGTCAAACTTAACATCGAGCCGAAATTATTGTTTAAAATTTTCAAGGAACTCTTAAATATATTTACTACTTGGTAGTTTATTTTGTGTAATTTGGTTATTCAATCAGGAAAACTGAAAAAAAAAATCACGGCAAATTTACTTTCAAAAATGGTAAGTAGTACGACTAAATATTTCGATTTTAATTTCTCTGCTTTTCAGAATATGTGTTTATACTTTTATGAATATGTACTGACCATACCACTTGTGTAACGAATTAGTGATTTTTTTAATGGTGTGAATGTATTCTTTTGAAATTAAAATGAATAGTGATTCAGTTGCGAATTTGATCGCAAAATACCGCAAAACTATACTATAGTGCTTCGCGTAAAATCTGCAACACAGTAAAATTTCAAATGATGGAGAACCCTGGTATTTGATCCTCAAATGCATGTTACGATCAAAATTTAACCAAGATTCGCATAAAAAGATTAGGTTACTCGTTTGTCAACAATCTCGTTAAAGATCACCATTTTGTAAATCATAATATTGTGATGAAAATGGCCTTGTAAAAATAGCCTTTTACTGAGTCGTTTTTACCTGATATGTTTCATACCAATTTCTTAGTCTTTGTTTTTGTACTGAATTCGAAAACGTAATGTTTCCGACTGCCTTATGAAAACAAGTAATAAGGAAAGGCATCTGATCATCCCGCCTCTTAATTAGGGGTACATTGTAATAGGAGGTTGTCGGTGATATTCCAGAGTTTCTAAAAACAGGAGGCAAAAGAACGTTTTTTTTTAGCTTAAGATGTTATACAAAACTTATTACATGTAGCACTTTCTGGAATAAAACAAGTTATTCTTGTTTATAACTAGGCATCAACACAGTACCGATTTCCTGTCAATGAGGTGGATTCCTGTCCTACAACTAATCACACATGGTATGAAGCTGGTGCCAGATTAAACTGTTCCCATGACGTCTACAACAGACTGCAGTACCTCTGTATTCCTAATCAGGAAAAGACAACTCTACTCGAGTTTTGTTACGACAAGATTATAGGTCTTTATGAAAAAGGTACCATTGTATTTACTGAAAATGCTGTTTAAAAGCTTTAATATTTTATTTTAATTACATGAAATGATTAAATTTAACTACATGTA